TCAGACGCACAAGCTACACTGGATTTTAATGAAGCGTCTCTTAAGCTGACGATGAAACCAGTGCGTGTAGAAAAGGTTGAACCGCCAAGGTTAAATCCGACCACCTGCCTAATGACGACAAGATAGAATCCGACAAGTGATCTTTTGCAGGATCCGGTACGGCAGAACCGCAGGTACAAGTTCCAGAGGTGGGAAAACGACAGTACAAGGGCAAGCCAATGAGAGACAGAGCAAGTGAAAAGAAAATTGCCCCGCGGAAAAATTGAATGTACAAAGAAAAAGAAGCCGTTCCACCGTCCAAAAAACAGAGTTCACGAACACCCCCAGAATGAAGAAGGGAGAAGGACGACGTATGTGGAAAAGACCCGGGAGAAAGGACGGCAACTATAACCCGGCTGTGAAACGGAAAGATTGACTCATCCGACAGAACTCTCCGCAGCAAAAAGTCGCCGAACTGCGGAAGGGCCATCAGCGGCGGAGGAAAAAGTACACGAAAAATTTGAACGGCCAACAACGAGGTCCAAGCAGGATCACGACAGAAGTTTCCCGGTTCCACCAAGACCAGCTGCCTTCAAACGGCCAAGACCACAAGCAGAGGACAGAAGGAAGATGTTCAAGGGTGGCCGTAGTGGTGAAAAACGGAAGCTTCCAGAGGAAAGCACTGAAGGGCGAGCCCGTACAAGAAGGAGGATCAACCAAGCTACGGTCTGCAGCACCTTTAAAGACTGGGCCCAGAAAAGGATGTCTGAATATTACAAAGATAAGTAAAATTTTATGTTACTTTACAAACTTAAGTTAATCTTTCATTCTTACTGCAAGTGGCAGATTTCAAGAAGTTTTACCTCATGCGAGGTCTACCTTTATCGCCAAAAGGGCGAGAAATGAGTTGTGACCGATTTTCTTATTATGTTTTTCAATTACTCGCGCGTAAAACTAAAGTTGATGTATAATAGCGTTGTATAAAGACTTAAATATTGTAAAAAGTTATTGTATAAATTTTATTTAAAACATTCTAACAAGAAAGAAGTTTTAGTCTGAAAGACTTTTTGAAATGTAGTATTATTTCAATGTACAAAGAATTGGGCACTTGCTTTGAAAAGAATAGAAGTTAACACTGTACTACTAATGTATGTTTTCAAATGTGTAAAATTAACGGCATCTTGATATGTTCTTGTATACATGTGAACTGTTATTTTGAATGTTTAGAAATAACGTGATATGGTAAAAGTGAAAGTAATGTTAAAAAAATTTGTTATTCGTGTGACTGTAAAGATTAAATCATGGTGAATATGTGTTAAAGGTTGAATGATGTAGTTAGGCTCTCTGACGCTACACTTTAGAGTTAGCCACTTTCAGAATAGTACCTCAGGGTCTAGAGTTGAAATTAGGGTGTGTTAAGAGGTCTCGTATGTTGAATTTTAACACATTAGTGTTTTGATTGTAGGAGGAAGTGTTGAACACATAGACAGAAACACATTCGTGTTTGGTGTTTTTACAACACATGTCAGAGAGCACGGGGAGAGATAATTAAAATAGTCATGAATGAAATAAGAATGTTAGAGAAAGTATATTCTATATGTTATTTGCAATGTCATTCTGTAACATTTCATTAAACTAGTTTTCCTTCCAGATCTCTGGAAGGAACCAGAATTGAAATAAAGCTCCTGTTTTGATGCAGTACAGATGAAAAAAAAAAGATTGTTGTATATTCCGGGAGCTGCTATTTGTAACAAATTTCTTTCTTTTAAAATTTTCTAGTTTCTAGCTAAGTTATGATTGTAAAAGTTTGGCCTCGCGTTAGTTTCTAGAGCTAAAAGTTTTCAACAAGGTAGTTTTAGACCTCAGTTTTCAAACTAATTAACTCTGGCGGGAAGTATGTAAGGATCTTAAGTTTTACTAACGTTTATTTTATTTTAAATCTTTACTATCACTTCTTATTTTCTACTTCCGGCCAGAATTATAAAGCGTGAAGGAGTTTATGCAAAGTTGTCTGGCGAACGCCAAGTATTTAAGTGTGGCCTTTTTGCCAAGCAGAAGAGAGGAAGCCGTGAGTTCGAAGCAGGCCGCTTACCTTAGAAGTTACGCAGTTGCTACTTTGCCTTCCAGGCCAGAGGTTTTAATCCTCTTGATAAATTAAACGTATTGTAGTGTTCACAGTCTCTGTGCTACATACGCTTTCTGTTATTATAAGGCCAATCTTATTCTAAAGTTAAATTAGAGTTTAGTTTTATTTTGATATCTTTTAAGTTAGACCCCGAGTGGAGGGTCATTGTATTCCGAAGTACGGAAGTCATTGTATATAAAGAAAAAAATAAAGGGTTTTGTATACCCTTCGTCTGTATCCTGTCTACTTACTACAATTAGTGAACATAGCTTTAGTAAGCTCTCTGTTCTAGTCAGGTCATTGTATGTTTCCGAAGAAGGTTAGAAGAAACATTGAACCTGATAGTATGATGTTGCGTGCGTACGGATTCGTTACGAAATGAATGCACAAGTCCGATGAAAAATCAACAAAAATTTATTATTATCACAACAAAAATGCTTAAATTTTTGTCAAATTATCATGCAGTATTACAATATCTCACAGTAGTTATCTTTTAACTACTCAAATGTCCAATTGAACGTAATTCAAAACAGCTAAAGAAAGCTAATCCGCGAATTCGCTACAATCAACAAGAGCAGTTTTCTAAACAACAACAAACTAAGCAACTACTACGAACTGAGATGTTTTCCTCCTTTTATAAGATTTTAAAAATCACGCGCTAGAATTTTCTAGTACTTTTTCGAAATCAAAGAGAGATATTTATTTATTTAATGCACGCGCTCTTGCATTTTCAGTTTTCCGGCTTAGCTTTCTTTTAATATTCGTCACGCGCTGCACTGCGCGAGAAATAAAACCATTTAATTTATAATTGAACTAACATTAGCTTTTTAAATGCCAAATTCGTAACAATATTGTAGAACTTATAGACCGCACCGAATCATAATAGGTAAAGTCAAGAATAGGCAAATATGCATATGTATAGCATATATCATATACTTGATGCAGCAATTTAGATGTAGCCGCCCTTTGAACACCAGTAGTGTACATGTACAAGCCCCTGCAAGTAAGCCCTCCCAAGCTCTCTGGCAAATTTGCCGGAACATTCATAATGTTCTAATACGTAACCTAGCAAACTCACTCCTGACAAAGTCATATCAGTGAGGAATATGCGCAATGCATTAATTTCAAATGTAACGTCGAATAATGTTAAGTGTGATAACATTCTTTTCCCATTAACTGATAGATGATATGCCCATGTCGTATAATGTATATGGTACGGTGAAACACCGAAATCTGGAGAATGTCGACTTTCACCGGTGAATGTCAACATTCACATAGTCGCTTGGTGTATGTCCGAAATATTTTCCAAATACTCTTATTTCTGACTTACACCGGTGAATGTCGATATTCACCATGTACTAATGGTGAATGTTGAATATATAAGAATATTATATTTCCTTCTTCGTAATTCATTCGCAAAAAAACGCACTTGAGACTCAGAATAAGAACTTAAGAATATAAGAACTTAAAACACACAGTACGTTCAAAATGAGAAAGGAAAATAATAGAAGTTATAAACTTACCAAATTATGTGATTCAAATCTTATTTACTGCAACAACTTAAACTATTATGACACTTTGAATTGCACAAGAGGCCCTTGCTTTGACAACTGCATTTATTTGTAGAACACTTCCTTTTGGAATGGCAGCGTGTACATATACTCCTCTCTTTTCGACCTACACCAGAGCATATCTGTGATTGTTGACATACACCGGTGAGGGTCCGAATATACAAGAATGTAAAGAAATATTCGATCTTTCACCGACGTATTTGGTGAATGTTGACACTCTCCGCTGAAAGTAGACATTCTCTAATTTCGTTCTTTCACGGTAACATTGTATATATTACCAAATTATAGACCGTATCGAATAAAAATTTACAATGTCATAAATAAGTAATATATAGCTAAAATCATACGTGTAGTGCAGAAATTTAGTTATAGCTGCCTTCTGAACACTTGTAGTGTATAAATGCTTACGCCCCAGCAGGTTAACCCTCACAAACACATTCGCATAATTGCCGGAGCAATTATAATGTTCCAATACGCAGCTTTATGTAAAGTCATTCCCAAACACAGATAGAATTTGTGTACAGTTTTATTTGTTAATGTATTACCAAGTAATATCAAGTACAATGAGGCTCCTTTCTAGTGAACTTTAGATAAAGGTGGACGTGGTGCTGTACTGATTAATCTTTACGGCAAAGGGAAAGTGCCCACGTCCACCGTCACTTATCACGTATCTTTCAGCATTCCCTATATTATTTCTTTGAAAACTAGCTGCTAGATACAAGCCAAACTTTCTACTTGCATGATTTTTTTTTAAATTTAAATTCCTCTTTTAAGAAACTCATAAGGCTAATAATGCAAAATTTTGATTTTTAATTTCGGAAACAAACATCAGATCTGTTATAATTTCAGAAAGCATTCTCTAATATGAATACATCATGGCCAAACATTGAATACATTTCCTTTGTTTCATCAGCTTTTCTATTTTAGGTAACGAAACTCAATAACGGGTATGAAATTGTTTTTTACTGAAATAAGGAAAGTGATTATAAAATCAAATCATAAACACAAAAGTGTTCTCGCAAAGGTCATCTTTAAGCTGAGACAAGATTGATGTGGATCTGAAGTTGCTTTGTGTGACAAGGTTACATTTCGTCAAATTTACACATAGGATTGCATTGCGATTAGCTGGTGTGCGAGTCGCTAACCGGCCTGAGGTTTTTTGTTACTGAAGGCAAAACGTGATTTTATAGCCTAATGCCAAATATCTTAACTCAAATCATTCACACGTTTAATGAGGGTCAAAGATTACTTAGCACGATAAGGTAACGTTCCAACACATTTGCACATTTTATCTCGCTTATAATTAGCTGGTTTGAAACTTTCTTTCTCTCCTCTTCTCAGACGTTTTGAGAATTGAAAGCAAAATTTACTAATCGGTTCCTCTGGAACTTCTTGCGCGGTATTAGAATTAAAGCATTGTGGGAGGTATAAAAAGCGAAAATTACTTTCATTATATATTCTCACCTTCAACAAGAAGAATAAAGGTAAGATATCCTTCTTATGGTTTCAGGAATTACAGTCTTAAAATGCCGGAAATTCCTTAGAATAAGCAACCAATGTGTATTAAATTCAGAATAGTTCTTGTTCAAACGCATCTGTAGCTGTCAACTACAAAAAAGAATGGAGAAACTGGACATCTCACGTTCTAACCAAATTTATTTCGAATGCGTTTCTTTTTCTGAATATCGTTTTTAATGCATTAGTTAGAATGTGAATTTTAAAAGATTCTTTGGTTTGTAAAGTATAAAATGTACTCATTATTACTTTTTAGTACAAAGTAAAGAAAGTATTGTATTTGCAAAAAATTTCGGGATCATATTTCAACGAAAATATCCATTTTGGCCCCATTCGAATCCATTTGAACGATGTTTTTGCGTGATACTCGTACGAACGGACTCCCCCCCCCGGGGGTCGACGTAGAGTATTCTGCGAAGTACTGGCTAGGATCTGTCCCTAGGCAGTCTCAGCCACGGGGGTATAAAATTTATGAACGTGGCCGTTCCCGATGGTCCATGAGGTGGGTCTATACTTGCTCTTCATGGGCCGGGAGGTGTTAGTCCCCTCCACCAGGGTATTGGTAGCCAAATGGGAAACTGGACCATTGAGTGTGTGTGTGTATTTAATTATGGCAAAGCACACTAGGGCTATCTGCCTAAGGGGAGGGATGCCTTCGTGGAGGACTTTCTAAGGGAAACTGGCTCGTATACACGTTACACATGGGGAAAACCACGAAAACACCCATGCAGACAGCCCGTTCGCGGGATTCGAACCTCGGACCGAACTACCAGTGTTCAGCGACTTTACCGCTCGGCCGCTGGTGGGCGCCTGGACCATTGAGAGTCTGGTCAGTGCTGTCCTTGGTATTCCATGTACAGCCCGTGTAGTGCTGGTAGGTAGCCTCAATCAACGGCCAGTCATCGCTCCAAGTTGTCATCGCCCACCCCACCGTGGTCTCGGTCCGGCCGAAACGGTGGTCTTGACTGGTCCGTGTTTAGCGGTGGGTTGGCTGAACGTTGAGCGTTCAGCAGAGGGACTTTATAAAATTGTTGGTGTCTCGAGGATGTGGGACCTCGGGCCCGCAGGTGTGTAATTGTCATCGTTAGGGTGATGCTCAATCCCCGAGTGTTCTTGATTGAATGAACGGTGGTAGAAAGTTTAGTTAGTTAATACGAACGGACAACATAAAGGACACGATTTTCCAAACAGATTGTTAAATGATTTAAAATTGATTTTCTCATGAAATCTGTTCGTACGACGGTATCTCGTATAACTCAAAAACGAGTAGCTGCAGAAAGTTTAAATTTTGAAATGGGACTGCTATAACATGTAGTTGTACACCTCCCTTTTTACTTGCTATCGGCCACACCAAACATATCAATATAATTGCATCTCCCCTCTGTTACCCAGATCCATGAGCTCAGTATTTTTATTCATATATATTGCATGTGAATTAATTTTTTTCTTTAAAAGTGGTTGAATCATGCTGTTCATATGTTCCAATTAAGGGTTACGATTTTTATGCCTTTAGTTCAGGGTTTCTTAAATTGGGGGTTGCGGGAGCTGCAGCAGGGGGTTGCCAAAACTTTTAGCAGTTTTGACATTTCTTTAACTTATTATAACAATTTTACAATTACCAAATATTTTTACACAATGTATCAGGAAATGAATAAAGATGAGAAAATACAGACAAAGAGAAAAACGTTTCGACGCATTCTCTCTGTAATATAAACGTTCCATTTCCTTGCTTTGCACGTGACGCTGCCATTTCGTCTGTTACTTATTTAAAATTTTCACATTGTTCTATGTCTTAAAATTAGAAATTAAAGTTAATGACCTAAATCTGCAGTCGTATATTACAACCGTATAAGTGAAAAAATTGTAGTTTCCCTCACTCGAGTATCGGATTTACGCGATACTTATGGGGTCCCGGAATTTTTTAAAAAATATTATGGGGTCCTAGGGGTCGTGAAAAAGTTTCAGCGATAAAAAGTGGTCGCGACTGAAAACCGTACTTTTGTTTATCTACATGTAAGATTTGTAGAATAATCAACAATTCAAAAGTTTAAGTGGCGTTGCGCTTAATGAGGTCATCATTTGTTTACATATGAAAGTCAGTAGAATAGTGAATTAAGCCTGTTGGTGCAGCGACATTAGTGTTTTTTTGCAGAATGGGACCAAACATTATGCTTCAATTTTGTGCATCCAAACGTTTGTCTTCCTACCCGTTCTACAAAGTGCTTTTTTTTTTGCGTAGAAACTCTAATTTGAACTGTAAAAATAATTTTTTAAACTGTTTTTGGTATTTTATGTTTTTCTATATCTTTCAATTTTTAATGAAAATATATCTTGAGTTTTTAATCTATCTTTGATTTGTTTCGAAATGAAAACTGAATTGATTAAATGAAAATTATATCTCAAACGAAATCAGAAGAAATAAGTTTAAATGAAATGCAGAAAAAACTGTGTATAATTTAATAAACAGTACAACGCCTATTAAATCCGTACAAGCTCTGTTAATTTGTAGAGACATTAGGTATGTTTTGGAAGCCTAAGAGATGAAAAATTAGCAAACGCCTTCACCGAGAATCAAACCACGGACCTCTGAAATACCGACGCATTGTGCTGACCATTACACCACGAAGGCACGCTAGGAAGGCAGGAGAAATACCTTATAAATTAAGGCCAAAAATGCGTACATGTTTATTTTATGACTAAAGTTTGTTACTTTATTTACCATTGTTATGGCATTTCTAATGGATAATATTATACTATTCAGATTTAAATTCATGTCATACCACAGTAGGATCTACATATTATGGTTATTTTGCTAGAGCATGGTAAAAAGCTGCGTTATAAAGGAAATTGGTAATGTTTACATACATACGCCTGCGATTTCTCTACCTTTTTGTAAATTCTTGAGCTGTAATTTTTACAGTAAATTTAATACTGTGTCTGCGGAAATACGCTCTTTAATTTTAAATAAATTTCTAAAAATAACAAAATAAAAATTTTAAATATCAGATATTTTGAAGCATATTACCATCTAGGCAGGATAAGAAATCACAAACTTTTTTAAAGGTAATTAGTAAAATAATATCAGAAGTGTTAACAAATGAAACATTTTTCTGTTGACATTCAGTATTTTCCTTCTTCCTTGCAGGTTTCCCTTATCTTGTCAATAGCCATAATCATGAAGTTCCTTATTTTAAGTACGTTAACTATTCATGTAAAATAAAATCGTAATTTGGTTTATAAATTAAAAGTTAACGAGTTTATGCTCAATATTATTTTCATTAAATTCTTAATTTTTTTGTTTGTTTTTATTTTAGGTGTTTTCTTCCTTTCTGCAGCAGGCGAAGCATCAAAGGTAAACTAACTTAAAACGCAATTCAAATGCAATTTAACTTAAACGGCATTAACTAGTATTCAATTCAAATGCAATGTAACTTAAATGCCATTAACTAGTATTCAATTCAAATGTAATTTAACTTAAATAGCATTAACTAGTATCCCGAAATGTAAACTTTTACAAACTGGCCCCTTATTATCTTCAGTAACATTAAATATACAGTTTTAAATACGTACTTATCTGATACACCGCCTCCAAAGAGGCCTTACCCACCTTTAGCTTCGCAACCGTTGATGGAAGACATACACTCAATATTATAAAAATGTTCTTAAAGACGGAAAAATACATGATTTTATATTTTTATATTTAAAAACTTAGTTTTGTATAAAATACTCAAAATCTAAGCTTTTTACACCTTCCACCAATCCCTATACTTAGAAAAGTTTTTTTTTTTTTACTTATTATAAAAAGTAAACCGAAAAACTAACCGAGGTATTTAGTGCCCAAGTCGCGGATCATATTGAGGGATCGTACATATATCGAATAGTGGAATGTTTGCCCGCGTGCGTAACTAAAAATAAAAAATGGCTTTTGATGTTCTGAGCATTCTTATATAGATTACGTTGAAAAATGTTGATCAATATAATTTTTTCAAAGAATTCAGAATTTTATAGAATTCCCGTTCTAGAAAATCCTGGCAATCAGCGAACTGGTAATATTATTTGCATAAATTAAAAATGAAAATCATTTTTAGCTTAAGGAATTTTTTTGTTTTGATTATCAGATTAGTACAGTTCTAGAGTAATGAAGCGTTATGAAAGTATCAATAACGTACTTTCAGACTTCGAAATCTTCTAAGCTACTTATTTGAAAACTTTTCGGTATAAAAAATTTAATAAGATTAGAAATTGATGACAATAATAAATCTAAAAAACATATCATTGAATGGTATTTAAGGGGAAAAATTTCAAGCTCGAATTATCCTAATGTATTTATCAACCGATTCTTAAATGCAAATTGAATATGACATCAAAACCCTCAGATTTTGAAATTCAATATCTTGGACTAAGGCGAGTCAAACGTTTTGTGATTTATTTTTACTAGCAGCTTCGCTGCCAGCCTTCGTCTGGCTTTTAAATGTACCGAAAAAATGCCTGAAGGGAACACCAAACGTTAAATTTAAAAACTGCGTAGAATTTTACTCTGCAGAACAACTTCATAAAAAAAGTTATTACGTATAAGAAAATTATAATGAAATAAGCAATATCCCTTAATACAAATATTAATTATCCTAATAAATAAATTAACCAACTTCCCTTTGAAAAATCTTAAGAACTCAAATGGTATAAAGCAGGTTAAGAACTTTGTTTCCTAAAACAATCACTCAAAACTTTTCAATATCTTAAAAACAGTGAAATGAGCAATAAATAACATAGAAAAATACAAAAAACAAAAGACTCGGAAAAGCAAAGTATAATTATTGATATTTTATCTTATATTTTCATGAAAAAATTACAATGAAATAAGCTATATCCCTTAATACAAATATTAATTATCCTAATAAAAAATTAACCAACTTTCCGTTGAAGAAAAAAAATCATGCAAAATTTTCAATATCTTACAAACAGTGAAAATAAGCAAAAAATAACATGAAAGCAACTCAAAAATATAAAATTCCTCGCAGTTTTTACTCTGCAGAACAACTTTATAAAAAAAAATCAATAAAAACATATTATATATATATATATATAAATGACAATGAAATATGCCAATCTTTTAAAAACAGTGACATAAGAAATACGATGAAAAACCCATATTTCTAAAAGAATGAAACTATTCAAAATGATGCTATTTCATCAAAAATCTATCAACAAGAATAAGATAGGAAAATTGTTGCCAAAATCACATTTTTAAAGATGCGAGATGTGAGAAGTGTACTCGGAAGCTTCATTTAAATTAAAAAAAAAAAATACAAAATATTATCATTTTTAAAAATTCTTTTTGTGAAAGCAGTCGCAAGGATAAAAGTTTAACGTGTCCCAAAATAAAAAAAAATAAATAAATAAAAAATAAATAAATAAAATAAAATAAAATAAAATAAAAATAAATAAAATAAAATAAAATAAAATAAAAAATAAATAAATAAATAAAATAAAAAATAAAATAAACTGTACACTTTTAAACATAAACCTTTTTAGAAAAATCCCGTTGAAAAGGTGTTAAGCTCCCTTTGTTAAATAAATTCGTATTTAATCGATTTATTGAAACACGAAATTTATTTTATATTCGTAAAATAGCTAACTGACTACGTTTCATGACGATGTGAAAATGGAGTGTGTAGAATAAAATCTCGCTTTCCTATAGCCCATTATGTCTCAAAATGACGCCATTTCGTCACATAACATAAAAGGAAAAAATACTAATTCTAATTTCGAAAACATCGCTTCGAGGTGGACTGGCTCTTGTCTAGATGCACCTATGTACCAAATTTCGTAGCCGTGGGTCTATTAGCTTACGCGCAACGCGAACGAAACACACACACACACAGACAAACTCTTTCTTTTATTATATGTAGAGATAATGATTTTTGTGTTTTATATTTTATAACCGATATCAATGCAAACTGAAGGTGACGTCAATAACTGCAAATTCTAATTCAGTCTTGGTCAGTTCTTGTGACACAACAGTCAAACTTCTATGATTTTTTTAATGCACAGAATATTCTTAAATATGTGTATAGGGAGCGGAAAGACGTTGAAAAGGTAAGTTTTGGAAATTTAAGAATGCCAAAATTTAAACCTTTGCGTCATTTAAATTATTTTTGCAATTGGATCAAAAACAATTTAAGATCTTTAGTGGGCACGGTTTACAAATACATATATCGGAAATCAAAATCAAACTTGATATGACATAAATTTTAAGACTGTGAATGAAAACAAAATTGTTTGAGATTTTGTCTAAATATTAAGAACTTTTACTTCAACTGTTCGCACATTTTCATTGTATTTACAAAAATAGTTTACCCAAAATTTTTGGGCTTTCAGTTCTCCCTTTAATAACTCTTATTCTTCACTATCTTACCATACCGTAATTTCCAAGACGATAAAGCTTTCTTTAGTAGCATAAGAGATATTTTATGCAATTCCTCTTGAACAGCTTTTTCAAGTCCAATGACAGCGGCCTAGCGGTAAAGTCACTGAACACTGATAGTTCGGTCAGAGATTCGAATCCCGCGAACAGGCTGGCTGCATAGGCGTTTACCCCATGTGTAAAGTGTATACGAGCCAGTTTCCCTTAGAAAGTCCTCCACGAAAGCATCCCTCCCCTTAGGCAGATAGCCCTCGAGGCTTTGTCATAATCACACACATACGCATCCAAGTCCAATGAGGGCTGTAGATCGAAGTCTGGACAATCCGCTTTTTAAAAGTTCAGAAGCACAAAAATCCATGGACGATACATCAGAAAATTTTTAGGGATAGGAGCGAAGGGTTATGTCCTTGATACCACGATTCTTGTCCCACTTTTTCCAGGAAATTAACAGTTGATTTTAAAATGCGGCTGCTTGCTTTGTCTTGATGCAATTCTACTGCTTGATTGCACTGTGAGTAAAGAGAAGGTATTCATATTTGAAAATTGGGTGTTAAATATGTTCTTGATAATATGTGGAGTTGACCTTAACAGTTTTCTGCACTCTCTTTAAGGAGACTCATACACATTAAAACCCATAAGATCTTCGAATAGGTGACTGTTACAAGAATTGGGATAACTTACTTATTTTGAAAGCAATTACTTCCAACGTTTTACAGCTGACTACATAATATAGCTGCTTTCTGAAATAGTCATCAGAAAGTTTGTGTTGTCACAGATATTTTTATAATTTAATCCGCTTTGTGACAACATTTTTCTTCATGTTTCCAACTTGCGCGCACAGTTTAAAACATACTGTTTCATAATTTAATTCCATAATTAATATATAGCTTTTATAACATTTGGAAACTACTGTGAACATAAAATTCTAAAAATTCCTTGTTAAATTTTTATTTTATTTGGAGTTGAGTTTATAAAATGCATTTTATTAAAAAAATTTGTAATATTTTCATCCATAAAATTTTTCAGTATTAAAATATTTATCAGATTTTTGGTTCAGTTAGAAAATAATGCCCATATAAAGAATTCCATCCAATTTCAAGTATGTACCATAAGCCATTTTAAAATATCGTGCGCGCAAGGAGGAAAACATGGCGAAAATATTTGTCACTAAGAGGATTAAATTACAAAAATATTTGTGGTGGTAACACAAACTTTCTGGTACTAGTTTCCGAAGCAGCTATATTATGTAGTCAGCTGTAAAAGGTTGGAAGTAATTGCTTTTAAAATAAATAAAATATCCCAATTCTTGCAACAGTCCCATATACGAAGATCATGAGAGGTTTAAGGTGTATGAGTCCCCTTAATTTTATAGAGACATTAGGTTATTTGGAAGCAGCAGACAACATGTCAAAATGGGCCAATGTCCTTGCCGGGACTCGAACCTCGGACCTCTCGAATACGCGCCGAGCGTGCTGACCATGACACCACGAAGAAGGCGGAAGAAATAATTTATAATTTTTATTCGTGTTTATATCAAAAACAAGCAACAGTCATAAATCCCATTGAGAAACTTTGTTTGGATTCTTTCAACGATGTTCTAAGTTTTTTTTCTAAGTAAAGATGACTCGAGCTACTGATAAAAATCCCGCCTAAAAATTACTCACAAAAATTTCAAGATGACCATATTAAGGCTTTCATAGCAGAAACCACACCTAACCCCTCAAGACTGCTTTGTTTGAATTCATTCCCCCAATTGACAAGTGACAAGTGACGGAGGACGCGGGTACTGTCCCTTTACCATTAGGTTAATCGGTATAGCACCGCGTCCACCCCTGTCTAGAGACAACACCAAAAAGAGGAGATCTACACATGTGAGCCCCCCGGCGTCGAAGCCCAACGTCGGATCCAGGCCCCCGTGCCGTTCGCCA